TTAAAAAGATCAACACTTGGTAAATCCCCCTTACTTATTTTCTAAACTTCCATGATGACCTATTACATTGTATAATGCTTTACCTAGTAAGATGCATTGATCGAGGTAATTTCAGGTATTACATATTGATGAGCTACTTGAAATTAACTAGGAGGTATGCGCGTATTGGGGAATGTGGCTTGCTGCTCTACTTTTTTTTAAAAACTTCCCACGACATGTAATGTGTGTTAAGTATACATTATAATTATGGGACGTACAGTGATAGATGGAAAGTTATTTCAGTATATTCGAAATGACTTTTAGGTAACTCCTTTTTCCTCCCACTTCATCAACATTCATTCATTTCATTTCATCTACATTATTTCAAGAAACGCATTCAGAAAATGAAGAAGAAAAAAAGAAACGAAAAAAATAGGTGTAAAGAAAATATTGTCGGCGAAGCATTTGTCGTAGTACTAGTAGCATTTGTAGTTTATGGGACACTTTTTGGGCGGAGCAAATGTCGGCGGAGCAATTGTCGCTTCAGGCGGAGCAATTGTCGGCGGAGCAATTGTCGGCGGAGCAAATGTCGGTGGAGCAATTGTCGGCGGAGCAAATGTCGGCGGAGCAATTGTCGCTTCAGGCGGAGCAAATGTCGGCGGAGCAATTGTCGCTTCAGGCGGAGCAATTGTCGGCGGAGCAATTGTCGGCGGAGCAAATGTCGGCGGAGCAAGTGTCGCTTCAGGCGGAGCAAATGTCGGCGGAGCAAATGTCGGCGGAGCAATTGTCGCGTTTTGCGGAGCAATTGACGGCGGAGCAATTGTCGGCGGAGCAATTGTCGGCGGAGCAATTGTCGGCGGAGCATCTGTCGGCGGAGCAATTGTCGGCGGAGCAACTGTCGGCGGAGCAACTGTCGGCGGAGCACATGTCGGCGGAGCATTTGACGTCGGAGCAAATGTCGCGGAGCAAATGTCGCGGAGCAATTGTCGCGTTTTGCGGAGTAAATGTCGGCGGAGCAATCGTCGGCGGAGCATGTGTCGGGTTACCGTCAATTTGTACACTTTTAGGGGCCGGTACATTGGAGCAATCGTCGACTATGAGGTATCCCTTTTTAAGGCGGTAAAACTCCAGCGATTCCTTCTGTAAAAGTACATCCTTGATACTGGCTCTGCTTTGTGCCTGGGCGCTGCCAAGGGAAGGATTAATTACTGCATTCCTGAACATTGCCGCGGCACTGTCTAACATTTCAATCTTGCCATTACAAAAAGACGTGCTCTTTGAAAACAAATGAAGCAGCCATCTACTTCCTGCCACTCGAACTTTACGGACCTGGACATTCTTGGGGTCATTAACCAAAATCTTCCTGGGAAGTTTACTTAGGTTAGACGTCTTTAGATGAGCACTGTTGTCCTTAGCTGAGTTAGCTGTGTCCTGGTGCTTAAGTTTGTATAGATTACCCTCAGCGTTGTTGTTATCAAGAGCCACCCAGTGTACGCCCACATATGTCAAAACAACCTTCATCAGGATAAGTGCCATCAGAGCTGATAAGTTGCGCCTGCTTGCAAGTTTTTTCAGACGCATTTTGGAAGTGCTTTAAGTGCTGAAGACACTAACAAATTTAAACTCGTCACTGATGGAAGAACAAAACAAAACAAAACAAATAGTAAGATGAAGCAGTTCAAGTTTTTACAAAACACTGCTGCGTACATACACTGTACATGTGCATCTATGTTGAAACTGAAAAAGACATACACACATATCGTCCCTATTTTGATGAATGAGAGCGCAATTAAAAGAAAATTAGTTTTGAATAAATCGCTTTCAAGGGGGGGGGGGGGGGTGTGCCGCTCAAGCCACTAAACCCCTACCCATTATTAGGGGTCATTTGGGGTAATTTTTCTTGAAGAAAAAAACAATTTTCCACGACTTTCAGGTGTTTTTCAGAAACTTTGCATAATTTATTTATAATTCAACAAAATGTTTAAGATGTTGTGTCATAGATTGATGCACAATATTTTGATTATTCAAACTCAATTGCTCATGGCATGAATCTCAGAGAGTTAAGAGTTTGCGAGAGAGTAAGAAAGTGGATGCATCTCTCCCATATCTAATTACTTCTGAGTTGATTTATTGGCCTTTTATTACATCTTGTATTCTTGTAGGCAATCAATCATCTTCAAGCATTCATTTACAGACCAGCAATGATATGAAATGTAGTTTAGTTCTAGAGAAGAAATATTCATCTAGATGTAAGTAAGTTCATAATATCAACTTTTGGGTCCCACTGCTTGGAATAATTTTCCACTGGATATTCCTTCATGCCCTTCAGTTGGATCGTACAAGAAAAAATCAAAAACGTAATACAGCGTGTGTATTAATTTTAAACATGGTACAAGCAGAAAAATATATATATACATGATATGAACTTTCACAAGGCTTTGCTCAAAAAGCAAGCCAGCAAGGTGAGAAAAAAAAATAACTGTTGATCAAAGCAAAGTCCTAAAAAATCAACTACCCAGGCCTTAAATTTCAATATTTTTAGGGCAAGGCCACTTTTCTGTAGGGCACATTTCTATATAACAGCACAAATAGGAAGAATTGGAAAGGGCACAAAATATCTCCAAGGCCAATAATAGGGCCATCCACAGCCATGGCCTCGGTGGCCTTGGATTAATTTAAGCCCTGACTACCTGTACATGTATTCCAATTTTATTTTTTTTGGGGGGGGGGGGCACCCAATATAATGTAATAACATACCTCACCATTTCTTCTACTCATTAACAAAAGTCATGTCCGTTTTGCTTATGGAGCAGCTAGGCCGTCTGTGAACCTTAAGACTTTTTTGCTATGCATGCAGCAAGCAGACTATGATGGGAGCCGATTATTATTTTATTAATGTTGTCAAATTTCCCATATTCCACATTATTAAAGAAAATAATTAATGTGTGCTATAAACATATTTGACTTGTTACATAAAAATATATAGTATAATTTTGTCGTAAATTCTACCAAAATCCTAATCTTTGCACTGTAAGTACCAAGTTCAGTCAATAAATGTCCTGCCAACCACAGTAATTCTATAGATTCAATATACACCGGAATGAATGTACGCTTTCTTTTAAACGTGTGTGTAACTTGTTAAGATTAGGGGGTACTGGTACATAAGTACAGTATATATTGGGATAAATAATTACACAGTAACAAGTGAGTGATATGACTTTGAAGTGTTTCTAGAGGCAAGATCATTTTCACCTACATGAAGGAACATTATATGGTAGACAAAAGAATGCACTGCAAGATTCAAGATAGCAATAAAATTCTCCAAAGCAACATAAATCAGAAAAAGCTTAGACACGATCATTCAGCATGGGTGCAGAACAGCCTTAGTGAACGTCATTGCCAACTATTACAAATTAATTTGTGTGAGCAGCCATCCTCGATGATCAAAGTCCTACAGAATTAAGTAAAAATCCTCGTTCAATGCAGAAAGTTACGAGCAAAATATAATGAATACCCCAAATTGCATGCTTCCCTGTAAACAAGTTATTTTTGCAGTCTTGACCCAGTCAAGCATACGTTTATTTTTATACCATTTCCATTAAAGCCCCACTGCACTACTTGTAGCTGCTGGCCCCCTTTATATAACAAACAATACCTAATCGGTGACCATTGGTTCTCCATGATCCTCTTTTTCTTATGTTATTTGAGAGCTCAGTTGATGAGATAACCACCTGTCCAGTGACCTTGGAGGACGGTCTAATCCCTCCTTTACACTAGTACAGATGGCCTTTAAGAAGAACGTTCACCGTTTCGCCATGCCTGCGTCTCTCCTACCAATTTTACCAAACACATGACAGTGTTCTGGACTGATTGAACAAAATTCCCTAATTAAGGGAAAGATGTCCACAGAACCTAGAATGTCTTGTTGAATATAAATGAAGCAAAATGATATACAATAAATATATCATACCAAAAAAAATTGCAGGGGGTGCACCCCCGCTTCCCAGGGCCCTAGGTGTGGTTAACAGTTTGTGCTATCTGGGAAAGGTTGGCGCACTAAGAATTAATGTTTTTGGAAATTATAGTAGTCCATGCTTAAAGGACAAGATGACAAATTATTGTGAAGTGCCAAAATTTTAGTTTTTTTCAGGATATATATAGCTAACATGTCAGATTTGTTTTACAGTTACTAAAAAGTACTACCTCCCAGACCATGCATGAACATGCATATTCATCAGGATGTCTCAGAATACCTTTATTTTTATCATTTCTGTTGCTAATGATGGGTATGATTTGAATAACTTTGAAACTTAAATGATGTCAAAGTGATATATAAGATGAATTTTGTGGACTGGGTGGGAGGGAGTTTCTCGATAGCACCCTCTCCCAACACATTTCAAACATTTACTATAATGTATTCATACCTCAAAGATTAAGAATGAACTCTAATCGAAATCTAGGAAAGTTTGGATTGGAAGAAGTCTCTTTTCCCAATTCTCAGCAATAGTCATCCCTCCCGCCAAGGAATAAATTTTACTAGGGTATAGGCTTTAGATATCATTTTTGTTCCGCAGTTAGTAAAACCTCTCATGTGTCAAGCATGCATATTCATCAGAAACTATTTGAATATCTTTTATCATTTGTCCTATCTTAATTTTATGCACGACTTCAGGTACATGAACATGTATACTTTTGAATATGCAATATATTTGAGCAGTAGAGGTGGGGTTTTGTTGGTAACTGTGATAGCTGTCACTGTATACCAACAGGAAGCTGCTATATACCCCAGTGGTATTTATCTTAGGGGTTGAATTTTTTGGGGAGGGGCAACAATTGTCCAAGGGGGTTTATAGTTGTCTAGATACAGGGTGATGCTTAATATACAATCTGCTCATTTTGCACAACAACAAAAAGTCTTGGCATTTCATAGCATTCCACCAATACCTTCAAACGATTCACAATGCCACCAGTATAAGAGAAATTAACATCTTTATCTTCTATCATTTCATCTCTGTAAATAGCCAATGTGTCTCCAGGCATCTCAGAGCATTGGTTCGGTGCTAGAGACACAGGTGAAAGATGATAGGAGGAAACATAATGAAATGACTCCTTCAACCCAGATGAAACGTCAGAGCCCAGAGGCTGGTACCCCTTCCAAACAGCTACCCAAGAAATCAAGAATCCTTGTAAGATTGCTTTAAAGAACATATTCTCTTACCGGTATATCTTATATTTCTGAATTGTTTATCTAGAATAATGTGAGTTCTTTACACCTGTGGATTTGTGTGGCAAATTTTATTTCTGTGTACTCTTAAAGGGCACTCAGTGCAAGCTTGATTCTGTGAGAATCAACTTTTTTGCCATTACCAGTCCAAGATTACTTTTGATTCACCCTAAATTCTTAACCCCTGAGTTGCCTGATATTGTGCTGTATTACTTTGACAAAAGAAGATTGGAAGCAAATGATTAAAATGAGTATAGAAATCACACAGAGTAAAACCAACGCTGTGAGGCTGAACTGTGGAACTCAATGAAGAAACATAATTATATTGATTTGAATTGAGTCAGGAGTATTTGCACATTTTGCATGTACGATTGGAAGATTACATGCTAACTTTGGGGGAAATTATGTTCCAGAGGAATTCTAAGAATGATATACCATGTTGATGGTGTCAATGAATTGAATATTTAACTGAAAGAATGTTGTATGAGTAATAACATTTCAAAGAATATGAATTTCTTCAGATTTTGTTTGCAGTTGGGAGTCTTCTGATTATTCCCTTTGATTAAATAAATAATTTAATCCCCCATCCAACTTGCAGAAACCTTCTAAAGATGGAGGTCTGGGCAACAGAAAGCGTCTTAACTACCAGCAGCCTGGTGCATCAGTACCCACTCCGGAGTGTTCGATCACCACGCTACCGTTTCCTGGGTACAATCTTCATCCATCCATTGAGCAGAAACCTCCACTACAAGGACACGTCAATATGAGGCATATCAGACAGCACCCTCAAGGCAAGAATATTCTTCTTTTACGATAGATCTATCTTTGTGATTTTTGTTTGTGTGGTATCACGTATCTTATAGTGTATTCAGTTCATCACCATTAGATACCATCCGTTGAAACGGTCAATCTGCATACCCCTGTAGACTCTTGGAAAGGACTGAATTGTATCCATGATTATGCAGGGTCCTTGCTTATTTCTAGTTGGAATGCATGTCCAGTGCTAGCTAACTGTCAGTGATAACTATAGGGTGATCATTTCAGAAGATTGTCCATAGTTTTTTTGAGGCATTGCAAAAACACTCCAGTGGGAGCTCATTTAAGTTGCCTGACAGGATTGTACTTTTGTAGGTCTATCTCTCCCAGACAGTTGTATATTTGAGTCTTTTTGCACCACTCCCCAGTAAAAGACATGATTTATAAAAACAACAAAATTTATTTCATTTTGTAAAGTACATGTATGTACTGATATCCGAGTAAAGCCCTTTAAAAGCAATGCAACCCTATGGGGAAAAGTCAGAAATTTAAATATTTTTTGAGTAAAAATGAAAAACTCCTATGCTTTGAACAACTGAATGTCAAAGTATAATATTAAAGGCATCATATTTTTGACATCTTTGTACACATATATAGATATACTGGAGACAATTCCTGACAGAGCTTTTCTGCATCTGAAATCTGCCATCGGCTATCACAGTTGAATAGAGTGCTATTTTTGCCTACCAGTAGTGCTCAAAGGAAAAAGTGTACACCAGGTTTCACACATGTGTTCACTACTGTGCTGAATTAAACTAAGATTAGACATAGGTATACTAAATTGCACTCAAGCTATCAACTTTTCAGGAATACGGCTGAATACCTGAACGTATTCAGGCTTATATGATATGTAGTACGTCAGTCAACATTATATTAATGGTTTGGTTGTGATGCATCCATTTGAATACAACTGCATAATTGACTGTTTGAACTGAAGGTGTTATTCAGGATTTTTGTTGTTTCTTAATATTTTTAAAGGACTTTGTTTATTGATGTCATTATACTACCAGGCAATGAAAGGTACGAGGATATGGTTCACCTTTCAATAACTGCATACCTTAACATTTTTCAGGTCAATACCTCATCAGATATTGAACCAACTTTATTTCAGTATTGTTTTGTTATGAATACAGTTTGTGTAGAATTTGTAGAGATATGAAGGTGCTTCCTGGTTGTAAGATAGTGAATATCTATCCATGAAAATGATGGTTATTTCATTTCCTGTAAACTATAAGCAGATTTTGTTCCATGTATATGGAGATCACATAATGTTGTGCATTTGAAATATAGAGACTATGCACAAAGAAGTGCATTAGAGCCAAAGGGTATTTGTTTATTGTATCTGTTGAAAGTTTTGTAATGACTTAATAGATTAAAATTTATTCACTAATACATGTATGTATTATATGTGTGGAATATTTTCAAATTTATTTACAAGCATTTCCTGATATTGGATGAGAAATATGAAATGTTATATTAGTAGGTGAATATAATATATTTGATATATTTTGTATATGAATTTTCAGAATTTCGATTTCATACATTCAATGTAATATATACGGGTACATACATGTACATTGAATACTTTGCCAAAGGAGCCAGACATTTTGTATTGGATATTGTAATTTATTTCTTTAGTTACAAACACTGTTATTCTCCTTTGGCAAAACCTTTATATTATTAATACATATTTATCACACATCTAATATTTGTTGTACATTTCAAATATTACAAATTTGATTTTTGTTTTCATATATATGTGTTCCTAATATATGGTTAGGATATGCTAATGGAAGAAGGAGTAGAAGTGGTAGCATTGATTTCTGAATATTTTGTAGATTCAAAATTGCATCGAATGGTACTAAATATTGTGATTAAAAAGAGATGAATGATATGAAGAAAAGTTTCATAACCATTGCTAGAAGAATGTTTGTTTATTTAGGCATCATTTTGCTTATAACATCTATTCATTCTCTTGTCTTATGGTTAAAGAATGTGTTATTGCTCCTTTTAATTTGAGTTAGAAAACAGTGCTACTACATTTCCTATGCAAATAAGTTCACCAAATGAAGATAAAAATACAACTGAAGAGAAATACAGTACCGGTATATTGAAATACGTAGTTTATTTATTGACATGTCCAAAAGAGACATTGATACTGAGGTAATATATATCATTATTTATGAAAAGTTCAAAGTTGAGAACAAAAATAGATTTGCAAAATAAAAAAGCTTTGACAAAGCAATAAAAGAGAAACATGCTTGAAATTGTCTAATAATTTTACATTCACTTCAGTGATTCTAGGACACTTGCCGCCAGAGGGAGAAAAAAAAATCTGCTTTTGTTAAAACCAACTTATTATCAGGGTAGACTTCCCTTTGATGAGCAAAGGAATGAGAATGTTACTGAAACTTTGAAATGAGATTTGCCCATCTGATGTTGATTTTATAAGAATCTTATGATACCCTATGTTCTTACCCCCTGAATAGTAATGTACGCTTTCATGCTATAGTCCCAAACATACATGTATCTTTTAAGTACAATTAATTCGTTTCTAAAATTTTCACGACCAAAATTGTAAATGTGAAATATTAACTACCACACATGTATCCGATCCATTTCATTTATTGACGTACAAGAGGTGATTTCAATTTTTTTATATGGAGGTAATTGCTTAAAGGGGGCTAGTTGTCTAGATACAGGACAACTATTCCCCCCCCCCCTTCTTTCCATACGTCTTGTAGTTGTCAAATTGTGTTTTCAATAAAAGCTGAATCCGCCATTAGGTAAGTTAAAGAGAAATTTCAAGTGAAATATTACACTACTCCACACATGTTTTGGTACATGTTTACACAGATCAGCCATAATGTAAATGTTCTTACTTTATTTACAACCAAAATTTGTTACATCTCTAAACTGACAAAACATCAAGGATATTCTTGACTATTAGAAATCACTGCACAAAGATAGGCTAAGTATTGTATGGTGCCAGAGCAGATACTGCATGAAGGAATATATATTGTTTTTAAAGTTTAATGTTCCAACAGAGTTTTAAAATGTAAGAAAAAGCAAAAATGTCAAGTGTTTGTATTAACAGTTCACCTAAAAGTAGGTAAATGGGGGATTCTCTTCTCTTGGTTCGGTCATATGAAGTAAAATATTCATGACTTGTTCCAGGAATGTTGTATAAAAATGATTCATGTGAAAAAATGATTCATAAAAACATAACATACTAAAAATTGATCTCCTTTAAAAACACTCCATGATTAACTGGCGTCCAATAATTCACAATGTGATATATATGTTGTTGCTTCCTTTTTACCAGCATTTATTGACTTCTTAATTTAAAAAACAGGTGACGTCTGTACTCTTTCCATATACCTGCATTGTAAGGTGCTTATCATCAATCAGTCTCTGCTCATTTCTTTTTTCCCTTCTTCCCTTTTGCTCCCTTAGAAAGGAGTGATGGGTCTATTTCAGACGGTTCAAGTCCTCTCACAGAGTACAGCCTCTGGGCTCTTTCTTGCAGGGTACCTCCACATTTCATTCCTCTCTCCATCAGGGCACTTTTCAGGCGATCCAGGCCAAGTTCTTCTAGGTCTTCCACGGATGAATAATCGTCAAGGTTGATGGGCACTTCTTCCTGCAAGGATATGATCCGAGACCAAAAAATGAGTTCATTCATTCTATATTCCAACATTCAAAAAGGAATGAAATTCAATTTTAAATAACCGTTCATATAAGGTAAAGGGACTTATGGACAAGATGGGATTATCTTTCGTGCTAGACGAGAAGACACTACCTTGATGATTGATTCACCAGATTAGTACGAAAATATAGTCGCAAATCCTTATGAATCACATCCTTACAGCAACCAAAATAAATTTCAGGTGCCCCATATGGGTATCTCTTTATTCAACATTTCAGCTAAAATTCATTTTGAAATATCATATACCCCATCTACTTCCTGAATTTAAACTCGACTGTAAAAGTTAGAACATACCGTTGTTGTGGATGAAGAGGTACCCATTCTTGGTGGAGGAAGACTGCTCAGAAGGGTCTTGAAACCAGAAGAAGTTGTCTCAGTAGCGGTTTCTGCATTCTCCTCTCCCGTGGGTGTCTTGGCTCCTGATTCTCCTTCAATAGGCGATGCGGAGGATGATGATGATGTTGATGTCGATGGAGCAGATGTGTTTTCTGAGATGTCCTCACCTTTCTTGTCATCCTCCATATCGTCGTCTTCTTCCTCACCTCCTTCAATGCCAAGCCTGAATAAAAAATTACAATGAATTTTCATATCAATGCCATTACCACTTGTGATACCGGTTAGCTTGTTTACTTACAATGCACATAATGAAACTGGCTGAAATAGTAGATGGTTCCAGACTCTAGAACATTCTTGTATGTGCTACGTTAGATGATATAATGTAATGGCTCTGCAATGAACATGACATATAATTTGTACAAATTTGTTGGTAGAAGCCTACATTTTTCCATTTCCAAGTAGAAAAAGTGCATTGATTTTGAATGCAAACTTCTTTAGTTAACCAATCACACCTTGGGGATTATACCATTTGGAAAAGGAAGATGTTTAGCACAGTGCACACAATATTTCAGTGGTTTAGCTTTTAGGAAATATAAAACTTTGCTTCTTACCACATGCAGTGCTTCTTGAATTCAGCCTCATCAGCATCATCATCATCTTCATCACTGTCTGTATCAGTTTTCCTCTTAACGCCTCCAGAGGAAGACGCTTCACTTTTACTGGAACCAGCCACATCAATACCTGTACCAAAGACAATTGGATTCCCATTTTTATTTTTTTAGAAACTTCAGATGGTCTGCAATATATTTCATATTAAGATGTAACATAATTATTATAAATGAAATATATATCCTCCTCAGTTTACAAAGTGAAATTATGTCATGTGTTATATTCATAACATTTTAGAATGACAAAGAACTAACGGTACTTGTTTTGAGCACGAGGGATGAATTTTGAACAGTACTCCCATTATTTTCCTTCTTCGAATCAATCATAAGCTACATGTATGATGCTTACCATTACTGAATACCTATTTCATCTTTATCTTAAAAATTCTCATTTTTCTTCTGCATATTGTATTAAGGTACATTTATTTATATTACATTTTTTTGTATTTCTCTTCTACATACAGTAAACAACTAAACTATTCATACACATACCAAGTTTTGTAATATGTTAAGAATGTAAAAAATGTATTTGTCCCAATTTATATTTCTTCAGAATGTGACATATATATTAAAGCTTACATTTAAAAGTATTCAACATAGGCCCTATAAATTCAAATAGTCCATCTTGCATTCCTGAGTTATGAAAAACACAAAAACATCAAATTTAAAAGGGGTATGAATAATTTAGTTGTTAACTGTATATTGCTCAAATTGTGCTAACCTGTGGTCACTGCTTCGTCCAGGCTATCGGTTACAGCTTCTCTCTGTTGGTCATAGCTTGGGTCAACAAAGTAGTGCTTGGGGGTAGAACGCATCCTCTCCAGCTTATCTCTCCTCTTCTTTTGACGCTCTTCCTCCTGTTGTTGTTTCTTCTCAATCCATGATTGCAGTCTGTTTGAAAACGAAAATAGTTCAAATATGGAAGAAAAGTAAGCTCTTGCATAGAATGTGTAGGGTATGTGACCCAATTACATTGGCAGAGAGCCAGGGCATTTTTTAAAAAATAAATCAATGTGATTGTATATTGGAAAATTCAAGGGCATTAATCTTTAATCTTTAATTGTAAAATTTGCAATATGGGAACTTGACCAAATAGTGCTCATCCACCACATCAAATTTACAATAAACTGAAACATCACCAGGGACAAATTTTCTGTGTAATAACTACAGAAACGCTGCCATTGTCAAATTTTTTGTTGATAACAAATTCAGTTAAATGAATGAAGTTATATTGCTTACTTTTTTTCATTGTTTACATCTCTCATCCTCCTCCCACTGAGGTCACGGCATGCTTCATGGTTTGTTGTCTTCTCGATTTGAGCACCAATCATCCGCAGCATAGCACCAAATCCTGCAAAATAGAACAAGATACTACATTAATTGTTCAATTTACCCTTGATTACAAACATTTTACGATCATTCACAATGAATAACTTATAAGTCAGCACTGAAACTAGGATAATATTTGCCCTTTTAGGGAGTTAAGGTCAATAGTCTTTTTAGGCTAACTTGGACATTCAAGGCGTTGAGTTGTAACAAGCATGCAAAAATTAAGTTATCATACAACTAGCATTTATTATCTGTATTTTAGATATAAATGATGAACTTTGAAAAGAAACAGTACTGTAAAGGAGAGATTTAAATTTCAAAGGATTGAATTATATACATGTAGTAACTCCTTGATCCTTTCATTCTAGTACAAAATTTATATTAAAGCTTACCTCCTTTTCCACCCCGAAGAGCCAAGGTAACATGGTAGGTCCCATTCTCTTGTAGCCTCTCATCCTCTTGGACAAGCCTGCCATTATAGTAAAACTGCAAGTCTTGTTTTGGATATTTCTGAGAAAGAAACAAATGTTTAAAGTCAATAGGTTTCCACTTTGATAATATATAAATGGTCTAATCTTCTTGTAATTCATTTAGAACAGTAAATGTTTTTGTTTTTTAATTCAATGCAAAGAGTTCAATCAGATATTTGGGATCAATTCAAACTTTCTGGCTTTCCCCCCACAAAAAATGATAATAATAATAACTAAACAAATAGATAAAGAAAAGAAAATTGAATAAATAGATAAACCCCTAAATAAATTTTGAGTTACATATAAAACAAGACAAGAAAATAAAGAAAACAGTGGCACTGCAACACCACACATATTCAACTTGTGTTCTTCGTTCGGTTTTCATGATAGGGTCTATGTCTTCTATTAATTTGAGCAATATCAGTAGGGGCGCTGGTCCGAGAATAAGGATCGTCTTCATAAACGAGGATCGTCTTCGTAAACACGGACCGATGCGTCCTCAAAAATAAGGACCGTCTGCATTTTTGCAGACGTTTCATATTTTTGATCGGTGCATTGGCGATGCAAAAAACGGATTCTGCAATGATTTTCTTGATGCATTTTACATTGACATTGTACAGAGACTTTCACATTATAAGCAATAAATCCTTGGGAAGACGGACAACCCATAAAAGTAGATGGTGAACTAGGGTTATTTTCCCCCGGGGAATCCATTTTTGGCATCGCCAGCAGGCCGTTCTGTAACATGAAACCCCCAGAGCGCCGATAAAAAAAAACGTCCTCAAAAATGCAGACAACCCTCATTTTTGAGGACACATTTTGTCCTCGTTTATGAGGATATCCTTGTTTATGAGGACGATCCTCATTCTTGGACCAGCGCCCCTACTGAATATCTGGCATGTCCGGCCTTTCTCAATCTCATAGTCATACTTAGACCGAAAATGTATGTGTCTTTTGTGTATCTCTTATTTGGGTAGAATCGGCTAGAAACAGACAGAAATTTTCAGTCCAAGTCACTCGGTCATACTCAGTTTAGTTACACATTAAAATTAAAAACTTGAAATGAAACTCCATTCATAGGTCTATTTAACATTTATTTAACAGGCAGCAGGGCAGTAAAAGCAAACATGAAATTAGATCTATAATGAAAAAATCCGTCTGCCTGGAGGAGTCTTCTTTAAATATCTGTTGACTTTTGACGCTCTTCTCAAAAACGTAACATCAAATCCTGTCTCACTCTCACACTCAGCTCAGCTCAGCTCAGCGGAACCCGAACATGCATGTCCAAACGAAATAGTTTTTCGGTCCAACATGAAACTCAGTACATGGGACCCTCATGTCGAATTCATGAAATCTTATACGGAAATTACACACCTTTTCTTCACAGATTTTCTTCATCAAACACTCGAGACCATGGTTGACATCTTGAAGATTGCAACACATTTGCGTTCCATCAAATATTTTAACAAAAACGGCCATTTCTAAAGGATATACTGGATGACGATCGCAGGAAAAGCCGGAAAGCGTTTTTGATGTGTTTTTCTAGATTTATCAAGGACGCCCTCTTGAGACCTATTTATTGTAAGGGGGTTAATTATGTTTTCCGTGGGTACAATTTCACAATATCAAAAATCTCTCTTAATGTTTTAATTTTATTAATTTAGATTGAAAATAAACATTGGTATATCACAGCTATTTAACTCTTGATTTAACTGTAGGAGATTGAATAATATTGTCCTAGATTATAATTTACCCTTTTTTTAATATAGATTGTGAAATGTCTTGTGGAGATCATAGCATTTGTCCCCCGGTGAAACCAGGGACGCTACACCTAGCTAGTAGTCTAATGCAGTACAGAATGCAGGATGCAGTGCATACATATATCCCGACCGTATTTCGTCGTTTACAGTACCCGGCGGCCCGGTAGCGGTACCCGTGCTGTTAGTGTTGCGTTGCATGCATTGGAATTGTTTTGAGGAGTTGATGCAACCATGGATGACGCCGACTTGGAAAAGCTTTCAATCAAGCCAGGCTCCCTAAATCCCAAATTCAACAGAAACACTACAGAATACAACGTGACGGTAGCAAGTGATGTGGGCAAATTAACCATCAGTTGTTTGACAAGTGACAGCAATGCAAGCTATCAAATTGTGGTGAGCAGCGAGTGAGAGAGAGTGAGAAACTTAGACAAACTAACTAACTTTCGTTTCATCTCAAGAATGTTAACTAACAAGTAACATCATAGGCCTAACAGTTTTTAATCCCATGTAACCTATCAATAAGATAACTAAGTTATCAGTGACAATGAGTGACTACTAAGCAAGACTTTCATTTGTCAAATGAAAGTCTTGCTTAGCAAGATTTGGTTTGTTCAAGATTTGGATCAAGATTTGATTTAATTTTATAATGCGTCGTAAATTTACAAAATTATAAAAATGCGAGGAGACTCATATTCATTAGTCATACGGCTTTGTGCCGCTGTAATGGGTTGCTTTTTCTCATAAAATCCTCCCAAAATGGGTCCCATTTAAAAATAAATATCACTAACATCACGTCATCAGTAGGGCGCTGGTCCGAGAATAGGGATCGTTTGCATTTTCGCAGACGTTTTGTATTTCCGATCTGCGCGTTGGCGATGCAAAAAATAGATCCTGCTGTGATTTCCTTGATGCATTTTATATCGTCTTTGTACAGAGACTTTCACGTTATATAAGTGATGAATTCTCGGGTAGACGGACAGCCCATGAAAGTAGACGGTGAACTGGAGTTATTTTCTTACGCGGAATCCGTTTTTCGCATCGCCGGCGGGTGGTTTCAGGAACCCAAAGCCTGCAGAGCGCCGATGAAAAAAAACTTCTGTGAAAATGCAGACGATCCTTATTCTCGGACCAGTGCCCCTAATGAACATGCCTCCTTTTTTTTCCAAAATTTCCAACATTTTGTAGACCCGAAAAATGGGCCTGTATTTGGAGGAAAATCTGCCGAAATGACCCTTAAAAATGGATAGGGGTTTTGAGGCTTGAGTGTTTGGACTTAAAGGAAAATTTGTCTGTCATCTTTAGTTTTGAAAACGACTTTGTTACTATTATTGTGGCAAGTTCACAAGCAAAAATCGGCGCCTTCAATTACACCTCGCAGTAAATTAAAGGTCCTTCCCCGCATGTGTTTTTTAACAAGGACCTGGCTTCCTGCCTAAGGAGTCGGCAAAAAAACAAAAAAATTTGCTTGTTTTCATCCACTCTAGTATATGGACAAATTAATTTGTTGTACTTTGTTGAAATTGACTCCATTGCATTTTATGTGAGGGAGAAACAAAGTAACTTAGTAATCCGTCCTCTTCTACAAAAAGAAGAAAAAGGAAAGTACAGAGGAAGCAATTGTACTAACATATAAGGCTTACATAAGTCTAATGATGTAATTCCTGTAAACTTGGATCCATGATGGTTGGAGCATCACCCATGCAGTCACCCACCTGTTCATAAAACCTTGCTAGGCTAGTTTACAACTACCTTCATAGTCTTTAATAGGCATAGTTGATTACAAGGCTTAGTGAGGTTTTATAAATATGGGAAAGATGTTTGACATAATTTGCATATATGAACTGCAACTAATTCAACTCTGTATCGGAGGGGGGTAGGGGGGGGGGGTTGTGTGTCCTGACGATTAACAAAATTAAAGTAGTCTTTTTTGCCTTTGGATTTACAAAAAATATGTATTAGATTGCACTAACCATCATAAATTACGTCCATTATAATATTTTCTAACATAAGTCATATAAGATTTCTGACATATTGCATGTAAACTTCTTCAAATTACTGGTTTAAATAAACTGTCCCGAAACACAACGTCTTGTAATACTTCACACATTCATAAATGCATATTTCTAAAATGTATTTCATTTTAAGTCTTTTTCTGTTAGCAAAATACCTATCCTTAATATAACATCAATAAACAGGAATATATACGTACATGAGATCATTAAACTTTATTCTAATCATTGTGGATTGGTTTGCGATGCAGGGAGGGGATGGAGGAAGGACTGTAGATCTTGCCGAGGGGAAGACGACAACGATCAAGATTGATGTATCAGCTGAAGATGGCACTTCCAAGCTGTACATCATCCACGCCAAGAGGCTGTCTGCCACTGATGCTTCCTTGAGTGGTATCAAGATAGCAGATGGGTGTCTAGTTCCTGACTTTGACCCGGATACACTCAACTATTCATGTGAGAACTAGGGGCACATTCTGAAATTGATGTTATCTTTTAGGCTAGGGTAAATGATGTTAGTTGTCATTTAAGAAAAAGGAATTACAAAAAAAAATTGGCTCTTGAGCCGACGTCTCTTTTAATTTTATGCGAATGCAGCCAGTTTTGCGCAGACATTAATCAAGGACTCCTTATTTGTTATGCTGATTGATATTGTTTTATAATATAAAAGGTAACATGGCTTTTGAATGCTAGTCCTGTTTAGATGAAATTAGGGTTTGTCTCGGAGTATATTTTTATTTAGGAAGAAAATAAAAGGAGGCTCATGGGCAGCAACCCCAAAATGCCACAATGGTGAAATTTTACTTTCGCTTGAGGCAATATTGGTACTGCTAAATTGTAATAAATCACACAGTTCATATAGGCTTGCACTAAAGAAGCAAATCACTACTATTTAAACTGTTTTCAAGTCAAAAATAATTTGATGTTATTCTTTTATCCTGTCATTTGGTTTGTATGTAAATGTTATTACATTTAGGAGTGAGAAGCTATGAAAATGATGGCCTCATCGGAACAAGCTGCATACATAACACACCAGTTGGGGAAAAAAAGGCTTTGAGACGACCTAACATTCAAAGCCATGAATAAACATATTTAGCATTACACCTATTAATTTGCATAAATTACAACATATCCATCAGCAGCCTTCAAGGCTCTATAATAGTTCAGTTCTTAATGGATTCAAATTCTTTGCATGCCCTTGCTAAGATCATTAAGAGTGAGGAACTTTTGGCTTGCCCAACATACACATTCTTTCTATTGAAAGACATTTACTGGTTCAATAGTTCATCAATAGGGTTCTGGGGGTAGAAGCATGCATAAATTTGATACATTTGTGTGTTCTTAAATGAACATGCAGCTACAGACACCCATGGTATGCCTAGCTGCCTTTGAAAGAAAGGATGCATACATAATTAGGCTTAGAGCTGAGGAATTAAGTCACATGAAGAATTCACAGGTGGTTGTTTTCTGAGTACGGTCTGCATTGTGTCCATATCTCACAGAAAATGTTTTGAGCTCTTCTGTCTGCATACCATGCATGCAGTGGTCCAATTTATTCTTCTTAGCCCCATGACTTCATATATAGCATTCCTGTCAGTGCATGCAGCCACGCCTCAAATTTGATTCTTGGTTAGTGCTTTTACCCTATGAAGAGTGTTTCGTGAAATTGTAAGTCAAGATTCCTGACATATGACTTTGAAGTGCATATAGCTTAAGTTCATATTTCAATGGTATGTTGGTGAACTTGTACTTGTGATAGATTTTGCAAGGTGCCATCTTGGTCTTCATGGCAGTTGGCATGATGTACGTTATATCAACTGAGATTGTGCAGACGATTTGTGTTGGTGGTCCAATTATTCGATCATTTTTAGTTTTAAATCACATTTTAAGCATATTTTGATCTCATTTTACTTTTTGAATGTTCTTTTCTTGCAGGCCTCCTTCCTTACACTGCCAGTGCACTAAAGGTTACTCCTACCGCTCCTGATAAGAAGAATGCGGTGAAGGTCAATGGTCAAGACCCAGGGTCAGAGGTCAACCTCAATGTGGGTGACACAGCTGTGGAGATTGAGGTCACGTCTGCTGACGGTTCCAATAAGCAGGTCAGAGCTCATGAAGATGTTTATTTATTTTGGGCTCCACACTAATTTGTTATTCATTGAATTCACAATTGTTTCTCATTAAGTCATGTTCTTTGTAGGAACTTGGAAATACATGCAATATATGCACATGCATTTGTCAAACACACATTGGTTATACTTTGAAAATGGTTACTGTAATGCACGGTGTATAAACCGCCTTCGTGTATTAACCGCACCCCTCTTTTTCGCCCTAAAAAAAAAAAATTTTTTTTTTTTTTTTTTTTTTTTTTTTTTGCCGACTCTGTTGGCAGCAAGCCAGGTCCATGTTAAAAAACCCACGCGGGAAGGCCTTTCATTTAACTGTGAGGTGCAGCTGAATGTGTAAGATCATTAATGTAAATTAAAAAACAGTAGAAGACCTAGGATAGAACCATGTGGTACGTACGCCGTGTAATAGAAGAAAACTTGGAGGAATTATTATTATAAACTACATATTGAGATCTATCAGAAAGATTACTTTCAAACCAAGATGACAGACAATTTTGAGTGTTGTTCTAGTTTCTGAGTGGTGAGTCAACACACCGATTACTGAGCTTTTTTTGTGTGTACTGTGTATAAGACACACCCCCGACTTTGATTTTTTTTTTGGCGGCAAAAAAGTGTGGTTAATACAACGTTAATTCGGTATAGAGGACTAATTTCATACGTAATGTGTGTTATGTACTCATTTGAGGTTTTGGGATCATCACTCTTCACGCATGCAAATAGATGCCAATTATAAGGCTTGGTGATATCAATATCATATTTCATATTATCACTGCAACGGAATGCATCGTTTTGTTTCTCATTTCAGACGTACACAGTGAATGCCACGAAAAAATGGCTGGGTCGTGCAGTGCAGTTTGCAGATTGCAAAGATGCCATGAAGTATGAATGCCCAATCACCACCAGCCCATTCTACAAGCCATGTAGTATCAAAGGTAGTTATTATTGCTCTGGAGCTCTTTTCATTGCCTTTCTAGAATATCACAAATTATTGTCAAAATGCTCCTAACCTACCATTACAAATTCTTTCCCCAAGTACAACAACCAATTAGTTTTGGTATGGTAAGAGTATTATATTATCAGTAATGTAATTTACACTTACCGTAAGTAAAATTTAGGGAGAAATTATAAGAGGATGGTTTAACCTATCAATACTTTGTAATTGTACTTGGCTCAATGGAAATGTTGGAAAAATAAACTGTAATGCACAACAGAGTTGACTTCTTCCGAAAACAAATATTTGTTGATATCTTTAGTAGCATACAAGGATGTATTTGAGAAATTGTGTTAGCTGCAAAAGATTATAAGTGGACATTTCTTTCTGATCATTTAATTCGAAATTACGGTTGACAGCAAAGTTATACAGCTACCAGTATAATATCTTTTTTTGACAACATACAGCTGAAGTAAAGCTCTGACATTCCAGTTAGGCGATACAAAATTTATTCACTGGTGCCCGAATATCTATCATTTTCAATGTTTAAAAAAAACAATTATGGTGCTGGTAACATAATGGGCGATTCCGTGCAATGTGTTCCGTACGACATATGACATTTATCCACATATTTCATCCACGAACGAATGTTCTGTCAATGTAACTATGAGACCCCTAACAATCAATAATTGCTATATTATATTCTAAAAGGGTCGGAACCAAAGCATGTTTTCAGTGAACCAATCATCAATGAATTGACAAGGACATCAAAGGTGGATCCACTGGATGGGACACCCCTAGAGAATGAATGGAAGGTTCCAGAGGGAGGCATCGAGAAGGAATTGTCCGGTGCTACAGTGTGCTGTCTCTACTCATATACAGGTAAGATACATTCTGTGTCTAGGGGTTTCTGTATTTAGTTAACAAATATTTTAATGTTTCAAAAGGCAAGTGATACTGAAGAAAGATTACTACTCATATTCAATTATTGACTTCAGGTTAGATAAGGAGGTGATTTAATGGAGATTATAAAAAGGTTAAACAAATATCTGAGGTCATTGTTAATTTCAGAGTGTTTGCCTTTGAATTATTCAAGGTATTGAGCCTTAGCATGTGTATATATATGTTTGTTTTACTTACCCATTATAGAATAACAGGTAAAATAAAGTAATGTATGAGGATGCTTGGGTTTTTTTATCCTCCACCCTACAACTCTTATTAAATTCTTGGAATTCGATGTAAGGAACTCCAGCCTCTAGTATGCACTTTTCTTTTCACCAAGTCCAGGCAGGGTCGCTCTGCACTTCTCGAGCATTCTTACTTTATATGATTATAACAAAAAAGATTTAAATACTTCCAATTGTTATAGATTAAAGTGATGCATTATTTCATTAATCATAGGATGTGAAGAGAAGATGAAGTACAGTGCTCTAGGTGCTCATATCAAGATGTGTGACAAGAGACCAAAGATTGATGCAGATCCAGAGGTAAAAAAGTAAAATATATGCCTAAATGAAAATAGAGGTTGAAATTTTTCCTGAACTATAAAGTAGCATATTACTAATATCTCATTCACACCACCATACTGACTCCACCTCAAGTTTAAGCTGAACAATTCTTGGCTATTTTGGGGTATAATGTAATTGTAACCCGCCTTTCACGATTCAGATATTCATTTGTTCCAGACTCTGTTCATAAATTCAACTCACAGGTTCAACGTTGAATTTCTTGGGTCAGAAATAATGATACTGAAACTATTTATGATTTGAAATACCAATGACCAATGCTTAATTCTGAAACTCATGATTTGAAGTACAATGACCACTTTTGCCGCTTCATTATCTTTTGCATGTATTTGTTCCTTATTTCATCTATTTCTATAAACGTGATATATTTATTTCTTGTAATTAGGTATTTTCTTGAATGTTTTTGTAATGCCAGTGGAAACCAACCAACTTTCTATGTAACTTGTTTGCAAAGACCAAATAAAATATCTTGTATGTTGCATCTTGTATCTTGTTTGTTTGGTCTGTTGTTGGCTTGTTGACAGTCTTGTCGGTGCAACTGGGGTCTAAAAGACTGCAGAAATTGTATGTTTGGTGTGTGGTATTATAGTGATTGAATCGATTACAGTTTCACATGACTGAACCTATGTAATTTAGACCACTTTATGCATTAAACACAAACTTAGTACATCAATCATCACATCAACTATATGACTTTATGAGTTGTCACAATATTGAGTTTTGATCATTATGTACAAAATGCATTTTGTTATGCAAGGTAAATGATAATTTTGAGTGTAATTCAGTTTTTACAGACGTGTATCACCATCACCATCCAAAAGACGTGACTCAGTTTCGAACAGGGGTCGTCTGAGCCAGTTTGTAGGTGATGACAGAGAGCTGACCAAGTGAACGTGCCGCTAAACCAACTCGCATCACACATTTGTGAAATACAAATTGTTAAATAGACCTAGAAGTCAGTAGTTGTGGTTAGCCAAATAGAACTGTATATGTTTCTGTATCTCATACTTTCTTTGTTTTAATGCCTTTGTCTTGATATCTTTCTAGAATACTGACACCTGCAAAGAGTGCAGTCGCAAACTCTACAAAGAAGAAATGGAATGGCACAAGAGCAACATGTGTACAAGCAAACACACCAGTAGGGAACTCAAACATGCTATAAAGGTAACAGTTCTTGTTAGCTATTAAAATTCTGTTTAAAAAAAGAAAAATCATATTTTGATATGTCATGAGACTGCACATTAAGGGAAAATGTGTACTGGTACTGATTTGATTGAAGAACACTTCCAAACTACTGTCTGTATTAATTATGAACAGTGGTAATGTTTGTGAAAAACTATCTAAAAATGCTATAAGAGGGAAATTTTATTTGGCCTGAAATGAACATTTTTCAGAAACCTGCATCAACTTAAATGCATACTGGAATCTTAGTAGTGCTTGTCTTGTATATTTAGTGCTTAGGTTTATAAGTGTATCATTCGCCAGAAAAGACAGAAATGATAATTATTTTTTTGACAAGTTACTTTGTCATAAACGTATAACTCAAAATCTTTCCTTGTCGGTGTAGAATGGGCCAAATGGAAACTTTGAAGTTTTGTGACTGTAATTCCCTGTACTGTATTGAATCCGTTTCAGAGCCATGATTGGGAGAAGAAGCTACAAGGTTCTGAACAATCTGGTAGTGTGGACCAGCTCATGTCAAAGGCCAAAGAACTCATCAAGAAATATAGAAGTGCACTGCCGAAAAAAGGTAGGCTACCATGGAATTGATTTATGATTGAACTAGAGAACAATAAAATATTTGTGAGTTTGAATGACTGAGTAGAGGTGTTTCTTTGGTTGGATGTTACTGAATTATGGATTAACTGCTCTGGCTTCAAATCTCGGCCAACAGCCCTTTATACAAGACTTTTGCAATTATATTATATAAATGTTTCTGTGGCTCCAACAATTGGTATCAATGCTCCAAAAAGTAAAGTGTTAAAAAGTGAGCATATCGGACTATCGTCTTGTATGTCTTGTATGTTCATGACCCTTTCATTTGGATGGAAGTGCTGAAACAAATAGTTTTAATTCTGTTAATTCAATTAAGAAGACTACTAAGAATGAAACTAATCCCCTCAAAAAAGTTCTGCAATTCAAGTCTGAGCGTTTATATCTCTATTGTTACAATCCTATTTGAAATTGGTATCATGGAAAAGCTTGTTTGTTCCCCTTTAAAATGCAAAATTAAAACTGCACTGTTATTCCTTTAAAACACGATCCATCCTCCAATCAAATAAAGAATTTACTATTGACAATAATGCATTTTGCAACATTCACTTTGGACTTGGCCCTATATCCAAGTGTACTTTTATGTCTACATAATGATTGCAAATGGGGCATCAGTGTAAAGGGAAATAAGGTTTTCAATAATACCAACGTCAAATACTATTTTTTGAAGAATTTAGTAAAGCATTTAGAGCACTCTGGTAGTTGCGTGATTAATTCACTTTGTTGTTTTTCAGGTCAGTCGTCACGTTTTGACGAGGGGGGATCTCCCCTTGACCTGCTCCACACAGCTGCTGTGAACCTGGCGTGTGCCATCAAGCAGAAGCCCAAACAAGCCGACCTCCATTTCACCTTGGGTCTTGTCCTGGAGGAGACCTATCATGCACAGGATATGTATGGACTCAAGAAGGATGTAAGTATTACCCTCCTAGGTCTTTTCCCCACTTCTATGTGTTTTATTTGTTATTCAAAATGAAAGAAATGAAACTTTGTATCATTGTAGGTAATGATTCTTCAGAGTTCAGCTTGCTAAATTTGATTTTAGAATACCGGAACTGTTGTTGTTGTTGGTATTATGGCGTTTACCATCGTCGTTGGATGATTTTTACCACAGAATATTTGTATCTTGTCTTTTATGCCTCTGCCCACTGGAGGTGGTGCAGGAGGCATCATTCTTCTATAGGTATCTTTTTAACATCACATCAGCTACTAAACAAATAGAATCGCATATAAACTTTTCATTTTGGTAAAGCTGATCGATTTATCTTTTTTTTCCTGTGGTATAAAAAAAATTTGTATTCAATTAATGTCTAGATTTTATACTTTGGAAGCAATATACAAGAATGAGCCATAAATCTATCTCTCATCTGCCTATCTTCTAACTTTAAACTGCCATCTTCGTATAAACACTTTTAATTCAGGATTCTGGGCTTGAATGCTAAACACCTTACACCCAAGATAATGATCTTCCGTAATGATAGCACCCACTTATTGTGACCTTCACTGTTAGCCTGATTTTTATATGACACCCTTATAAATGCATCCATTTATAATTTATTATAATATATTGTTATCCATTTATAATTGTATTTGTATGTGTATTTGACCTTATATATTCATTTTTTTAAAATTATGTTTAACTCTTTCCTTGACCCCAGGATGATGACCTTGATGACAGCATGGCGATCCTGTCCCTTGGCCTGAGCACCAAGTCCAAGGACAGCAGCAAGGAGGATGACATCCAGGCCATCTGTCAGCAGAGGGGGGCAGGGGCCAACGCCCCTCTCGCCCGACAGCTTCAGGCCATTGATGAGGAGTTCAAGCACCTGCTCAACAGCGGTCAGTCACAGAAGTCTGACTATGTCCAGGAGCTCTACCTGTTCAAGTCCAAGCAGGCTACTCAAGTATGACTTCTGTGCAAGATGATATCGCTTCCAAATAGTTACAGGGTTATTGGTTCCAAATGTGTGATTGAGAGTTTCCCCTGCCTTTCATGAATGTTTCATCTTCATAGTGAAGAAAACTGAAAATACTTGCAAATACTTCATTGATCAAGCTATGTTTTGACCAGTATATGAAATCACTAATGTGAATATCTATCATATATGTAAAGCTAGATAATGAAATGAATTAATAAGGAATTGTTTATTATTAAGTGGCCCAAACATTGTGGAGCGTGTGTGCAGCGCTTTGTAACTGCAAGGAAAAGGCGCTATATCAAATATCTTTTGGATTGGATTTATTATGCAAATTATAAAACATAATAATACTATTGCTAGTGATAACAAAAAATACAAAGTTTAAAAAAAAAAAAAGTGTTGAAAAAGGCATAGCACAAAAATGTTCAAGAATTAGAGATGGCTAAGCCACTTTGAACTATCTACACAGGCATTGGAGTTTTTAAATGTAGGCTGTCATTAACAAAACTTTGGATATTGACTATGCCTGAGTATACTGGCCCTGAGAATAGATGAAAATTAATTCATATCACGTTTTCCAACTTCTTGGGGACATCCTGTTTTTCTTTCAGGGTGGTAAGACGTCTCAGGCAGCGTCTGACGAGAGCAACCCGCTAGGTCAGGCATGCCTCAAGTTCATGGATTCCCTCTCCCTGGAGCAGAACAGTGTCATGTACAACATCCATGTAGGAAGGCTTCTACTGCTACAGGACAAGGTGGAAGATGCCCTCACAAGGCTACAGCATGCAGTGGGCCTCAAACCATTCCTACCCATCGCTAGGTAGGTCCACGCATTTTTTGCTGTGGGGCAATGTTAAGAGAGCCAAAGACTCTGTTGTGTTTGTACTAAGACAAGCTTCTTTGATTCTTCCAGTTGTTTGCATGTTGAAGTACGTTTCATGACAGAAAGTTATGCCCAAGTTCACAATAAAGATAAAAATTAAAATTAAAATTTAGCCCTGTGAAGACTGTGTTGTACTAAGGAAGGCTTTCTTTGATTCTTCCTGAAGCTTAAATAGTTGTATGCATGTTGAAGTATGTTTCATGGCCGAAAGTTATGCCGAAATTCACAATAAAGATAAAATGATAATAAAAATTGGGCTCTTTTATGTAACTGTTTAGTGACCCCGTCAAACAGAAGGTAAAGGAACTAATATATTTTGTATTTTTTTTTGTATCTGGGATTCTAGCCTTGATCAATGGAAGCACTAGAAGAATATATTTTCCATTGAATTTGCTTAATAAGGATACTACTTTACAACAGCATGTGAGAACCCTGTGTCCATTATAGTACAGATCAAGAGAAGTACCTTCATTCAATCTATTAATTGCCTCACTCTACCTAATCACATTGTGCTAGATTCTACCTCGGCCTAGCATTAGTCCAGCAGAAGAGTGGCCCAGGAGCCAGGACCAAAGAAGCCATGACCTACCTGAACGACGGTGTCCAGTACCTGTTAGAGCTCACATCAAAACAGGCTGAAACTGTCGAGGACAGGTGAGTACACGTTGCATGATGACGGGTCTTTGCAAGGGTTCATGAGTGGGTCAAGCTAGAATGTTGTTGAAGTCCTACTGGAACTATTAATACAGTCTTTCTTACTTTGTGAGTGGTCCCTTGGTGACTGTTTTATGCTGCAAGATTGATACATCAGCTGTTCGTAGTCAATCCCTCTTCAGTTATAATGGACACAGTTTTTTTCTTTCTCAAAAACTTTATATTTGCTGATTTCTAGTTGGTCCCCTGTCAACAACAAACTCTACATTTTAGTGGTTAGATGACAGCTAGTGGATACCCTTCCGAAATCTTCCTTTTTTATATTATTCTGGATAAACACACTGTATCAAAGATGAAAAGTTTTTTCCTTTTAAAATTTTTATTTTGTTGCTGTTACAGTTGCCCATGTGATCTACATTCTGAAGACCTTTGGAGGTCCTCCAGTGGCCAGCTTCTCAAGGGATGTATAGAGCTGGGAAAGCTGCTCAAGATAACTCCTACATCAGGCTTCCTCACTGCTGCAGATGTCTTTCACAGGTAAGGACAAAATTAATGTTAAATCACCTTTCCTCAAATGACAAAGAGAGCTTTCTTTGACCAATATATGTAAGGGATATGGTGAGTACATGATTTAAAGAGTAATTGCAGCAATTCATTTTAGGGAAAATTTCACAACAGTGTGTAGCAGAGAGCTCTAAAATCTCAAATGTTGTGCATATATTTGATCATTTTAGTTTCTTGACTACTGTGCTTTTAGTTATGCAACAGGGGTACATGTATCTGTTCAAGTTCTTGCCAAAGGATTAATGTTTTTCAAAAGTGCGCTAACCACTTGGACTTGGATGTTAATCCATGACCTTCTGGTTGTGACAAATCTAGCTATCATTGCCTTTGTGCTGTATTAAACTTCAAACTAACCTTATGACTGATTGACTGATTGATAGCTAAACTATACTGCATTTTTTGACAGTGCTGCTATCTTGGCAGGGCAGAACTTATGCACACTGCCCTCTAGAGGTGACACCTACCAGTCAATGGAGTGGGTGCTCCTGGACGTCCATGCCATCCTGCTGGAGATGCTGATGGAGAAAGATGCAGGGAACGCTCCGTGGATCGCTCAACGATGCCAGCGTCTCTCTTCTCTTGTCAGCTGCTCCACCATCCCACAGAGTCAGCAGGTCCTCAAGCTCCAGGAACAGGTCAGGACCCATTTCACAAAGCCTTTTTTCAATGACAAATGTCAAATATCAGTGACAAATCTGCTGATAACCAATCAGAAGCAAGGATTTCAGTAGCTTATAACAACAACTGTCATTTGTCACTGATTACAAGTTTTGTGAAACACCCCCCCCCCCCCCCCAGGACCAAATACAGACCAGAAATTTGATACCTTGTCCTTGATATGTCATTGATCTATGATTAACCAGTGCCTCCTGCTATTCTCCGCTATTTTCCAGAGGTGTATGCTATCAATCACTTGTGAAAATTTAAGAAATCGCTTCATTTATGTTGCAAGTTGTGAGATGTGAGATGGAAAATTAAAATCTGGATTCATGTTGAGGGTCAAAACCCTGGTATCAAATTTTCTGGATGGAAGGTTGTCAACTATTTACAAAAATTCAGATTTGCTTGATCTCAGTTAGAAAGCGATTATAACTCCCAAGATAAGAAACTACACGTTGTAGAGATTATCATTCCCTTGGTGATTGGATGCTTGTTCCTATTACCAATCAACTTTTCTCCAGTTACATTTTCCAAAAATATTTTTTTTACTTTCTTTTTTTCTAAGACATGTCAAAAGGGAGTGATAGCCCAACCATGCAACAGCCAGGCTCTGTGTCACCTGGGCAACTCACAGCTAGCCATGCACGAGAATGACCCGACCTCTGACCTGGGCAAGAAGGCTCTCCTGGATGCAATGTTATCCTTTAGGGCAAGCATGGAGAACGAGGGCAAACCCAGTATAGGGGGTGACCTGCCAGCTCAGATAACGGGTGATTTTTCCATTTTTAATTTGTTGCTAAAGCCTCTCCATAGCCAGTAAAATGCTATACTCTATTTTCATAGGGTGGAAATTAATTTTATTTTGCCCTTGTCGCATAAACACAAGAAAGCTTATATACAAATCACCTTGACAATGGGATTCCAGGCCTGCTAATATGTTTTAAGTTGTTGAAATATCAAGGGAAGTATTATAGATTAGTTTTTGAAGAGTTTCACTGGACTATATCTTTGGTCTTTAGATACAATTTTGAAACATTCTTGTTTGCTTGACCTCATTGAGCAGGAGGAAACATTATTCAGAATCAATTCCTTATGTTTGGTCGATTTCCACTCTTTAATATTGATCAGCATATATATCCATTATAATGCATTTAAGGAGATCGTCAATTGTTACATTTATAATATGTATGTCAATAAGAAGTATTAACATAATTTTTTGTATTCCTGATATTCAGAACAAGGATGGTGGCAGGAGAAAAAGAAAAAGGAAGAAGCAGCAGCAACTAGTAAGACAGCAGCAGATAAGGGTAAGGGCGTGGCCCCCAAGGCTGCCCCAGCTAGGGGAGCTGCTGCAGGGAGGGGCACTCCAACTTCTAGGGGTACAACAAGAGGAGCACCAGCAACAGGTGAGTTAATTATTATCTTTTATATTGTAGTCATTATATGTTGTAGACTGCATGTGTGCCTCTATTAGTTTACTATAGAGTACCGAAGCTGTACGTCATAAAAATTTATTTAAAAAAAAATTTATTAATAGATTTTTGATGACGTCACACTTCACCATTAGTTTAACAGAACAGATGCAGTGCATTCGTAGAAATGTGTCATCTACTTTGCTATGCCCCCATTCAAGCTCTTCTGTCCTGGGCACACATTGGGATGTGTCATGATAGAGTGTGGTCATTTTATTATTGATGTCCCTGTATGCCCGTTTGTCTTCCCAGCAAGAGGAGGTGCAGCCAAGGCAGCACCTGCCACCAGGGGAGGCGCCGCACGTGGGCGTGGCACCACCTCAGGGGCATCCAAGGGTGCCCCAGCCCGTGGCCGAGGAGGCGGCACCACCACCAAACCTCCTGCAGGGGCTAAATCAGGCCAACCTAGCAAGACGGCTCCAGCCAAAGCAGTAACTACCCCCTCTCCGGAGCCAAGTAAAGAGGCAGCTGCTAAACCAGGTTAGACTGCTGCATTTGCACAAGTTTTTATTTTCTCCACGAAATGTACATTTCTTTGTTATTTTACTATGAAAGGAATGCAGCTTCGGCTTATCCATTTAAGCTTAAGATCTGTATACTGGTCAGACCTCTACTAAACTTTTCAAAATGCACATTAACAAATCAGTTCTGAGGTCATGTGAAGCCAAGACTTGATGTCATTACTCACATATTTTCTTTGAAAATGTTCACCACTTTTATAATCAATCAATGGTTTTTCCCTGTGTTCAATGATATGGGAGCTTCCTCCATATAAAATGTCTTTGAATAAAAGTTTGGGACAGAATTGAAGCATACATGGATCGATTCTTAAAGGTATATCCCAGTTTTTGAAATGCCCCCCTCTCAAAAAATGGAATGGAAGCTCTTATTACCAATCATGTGAAAGAATATGTTTTGACTAAATACGTGATGATACAAATTTTGCCGGATGATCAACCTTTTCTGATCAATTCCACAACGTTTCTTTAACAATGCAATCGCATGACCAGAACTGGTCTATACCTTTAAGCTTGTAATTCGTGTTCTTCATTCTAGCCTCGACCAAGACTACCCCTGTGCCAGCCAACGCTCCTTTGAACCGCATGAGCTACCTTCCACGCCTTGGTCTAGCGAGGGCGCTAGCCAAAGAGACTGAAGATACAAAGGAATCAAGGATGCTCTATGATGATGTCATCACTATGGCACCTAAGGTTAGTCTATGGATATATATCAACACTGACTTGATATTCCTATTCCTATTTCTTCATGCTGCGTGTTTTTGTCGGAGGTTAGGTTTGCAATTGGGTATATGTTTGGGTGAAGGAAGGGGTGCAGGGGAAAGAACTGTAAAAGTAAATATATTTGCGGTACATTCATTTTCGCGGATTACGCGCTAAGATCGGCGTGAATTTAAAAAAAAAAATTTTCATTGTCAGGAAATTTGGAAATTCAAACTATTATTTTTTTCTTCGCGAAAATGCTGAACCGCTCCATGTTTATTCTAAATTTTCCAATATTTGCCCCTACGCCCCTTTCTAAGGCAAGTGGAGGTCAGGATCCTTCTCATGGCATGTAGGGACATTTATTGTGAGGAAATTAACCTATTCAAATATTTTAATTTTTTTTCCGCCCAAATGCTGAACCACGCCGGCCCTTACCATTTTGGCCCCAATTTGGTGTATATGCCAAATTTTCCAATATTTGCCCCTACGCCCCTTTCTAAAGCAAATGGAGGTCAGGGTTTTTCTCATGGCATGTAGGGGCATTTATTGTGAGGAAACTAGCCTATTTAAAATTTTTATATTTTTCCGCCAAAATGCTGAACCACTCCGGCCCTTACCATTTCGGCCCCAATTTGGTGTATATTCTAAATTTTCAAATATTTCTCTCCACGCCCCTTTCAAATACAAATGGAGGTCAGGGTTCTTCTCATGGCATGTATGGACATTTATTGTGAGGAAACTAGCCCATTTAAAAATTTTATATTTTTTCGCCAAAATGCTGGACCACTCCGGCCCTTACCATTTCGGCCCCAATTTGGTGTATATTCTAAATTTACAATATTTGCCCCTACGCCCCTTTCTAAAGCAAATGGAGGTCAGGGTTCTTCTCATGGCATGTAGGGACATTTATTGTGAGGAAACTAGCCAATTTAAAAAATTTATATTTTTTCACCAAAATGCTGAACCATTCCGGCCCTTACCATTTCGGCCCCAATTTGGTGTATATTCTAAATTTTCAAATATTTCTCTCCACGCCCCTTTCTAAAACAAATGGAGGTCAGGGTTCTTCTCATGGCATGTAGGGACATTTATTGTGAGGAAACTAGCCCATTTAAAAATTTTATATTTTTCCGCCAAAATGCTGAACCACTCCGGCCCTTACCATTTCGGCCCCAATTTGGTGTATATTCTAAATTTTCAAATATTTCTTTCCACGCCCCTTTCTAAAACAAATGGAGGTCAGGGTTCTTCTCATGGCATGTAGGGACATTTATTGTGAGGAAACTAGCCCATTTAAAAATTTTATATTTTTCCGCCAAAATGCTGACCCACTCCGGCCCTTACCATTTCGGCCCCAATTTGGTGTATATTCTAAATTTTCAAATATTTCTCTCCACGCCCCTTTCAAATACAAATGGAGGTCAGGGTTCTTCTCATGGCATGTATGGACATTTATTGTGAGGAAACTAGCCCATTTAAAAATTTTATATTTTTTCGCCAAAATGCTGGACCACTCCGGCCCTTACCATTTCGGCCCCAATTTGGTGTATATTCTAAATTTTCAAATATTTGCCCCTACGCCCCTTTCTAAAGCAAATGGAGGTCAGGGTTCTTCTCATGGCATGTAGGGACATTTATTGTGAGGAAACTAGCCAATTTAAAAAATTTATATTTTTTCACCAAAATGCTGAACCATTCCGGCCCTTACCATTTCGGCCCCAATTTGGTGTATATTCTAAATTTTCAAATATTTCTCTCCACGCCCCTTTCTAAAACAAATGGAGGTCAGGGTTCTTCTCATGGCATGTAGGGACATTTATTGTGAGGAAACTAGCCCATTTAAAAATTTTATATTTTTCCGCCAAAATGCTGAACCACTCCGGCCCTTACCATTTCGGCCCCAATTTGGTGTATATTCTAAATTTTCAAATATTTCTTTCCACGCCCCTTTCTAAAACAAATGGAGGTCAGGGTTCTTCTCATGGCATGTAGGGACATTTATTGTGAGGAAACTAGCCCATTTAAAAATTTTATATTTTTCCGCCAAAATGCTGACCCACTCCGGCCCTTACCATTTCGGCCCCAATTTGGTGTATATTCTAAATTTTCAAATATTTCTTTCCACGCCCCTTTCTAAAACAAATGGAGGTCAGGGTTCTTCTCATGGCATGTATGGACATTTATTGTGAGGAAACTAGCCCATTTAAAAAATTTATATTTTTTCGCCAAAATGCTGGACCACTCCGGCCCTTACCATTTCGGCCCCAATTTGGTGTATATTCTAAATTTTCAAATATTTCTCTCCACGCCCCTTTCTAAAACAAATGGAGGTCAGGGTTCTTCTCATGGCATGTAGGGACATATATTGTGAGGAAACTAGCCCATTTAAAAAATTTATATTTTTCCGCCAAAATGCTGAACCACTCCGGCCCTTACCATTTCGGCCCCAATTTGGTGTATATTCTAAATTTTCAAATATTTCTTTCCACGCCCCTTTCTAAAACAAATGGAGGTCAGGGTTCTTCTCATGGCATGTATGGACATTTATTGTGAGGAAACTAGCCCATTTAAAAAATTTATATTTTTTCGCCAAAATGCTGGACCACTCCGGCCCTTACCATTTCGGCCCCAATTTGGTGTATATTCTAAATTTTCAAATATTTCTCTCCACGCCCCTTTCTAAAACAAATGGAGGTCAGGGTTCTTCTCATGGCATGTAGGGACATATATTGTGAGGAAACTAGCCCATTTAAAATTTTTATATTTTTACGCCAAAATGCTGAACCACTCCGGCCCTTACCATTTCGGCCCCAATTTGGTGTATATTCTAAATTTTCAAATATTTCTTTCCACGCCCCTTTCTAAAACAAATGGAGGTCAGGGTTCTTCTCATGGCATGTATGGACATTTATTGTGAGGAAACTAGCCCATTTAAAAAATTTATATTTTTCCGCCAAAATGCTGAACCACTCCGGCCCTTACCATTTCGGCCCCAATTTGGTGTATATTCTAAATTTACAATATTTGCCCCTACGCCCCTTTCTAAAGCAAATGGAGGTCAGGGTTCTTCTCATGGCATGTAGGGACATTTATTGTGAGGAAACTAGCCCATTTAAAAAATTTATATTTTTTCACCAAAATGCTGAACCATTCCGGCCCTTACCATTTCGGCCCCAATTTGGTGTATATTCTAAATTTTCAAATATTTCTCTCCACGCCCCTTTCTAAAACAAATGGAGGTCAGGGTTCTTCTCATGGCATGTAGGGACATTTATTGTGAGGAAACTAGCCCATTTAAAAATTTTATATTTTTCCGCCAAAATGCTGAACCACTCCGGCCCTTACCATTTCGGCCCCAATTTGGTGTATATTCTAAATTTTCAAATATTTCTTTCCACGCCCCTTTCTAAAACAAATGGAGGTCAGGGTTCTTCTCATGGCATGTAGGGACATTTATTGTGAGGAAACTAGCCCATTTAAAAATTTTATATTTTTCCGCCAAAATGCTGAACCACTCCGGCCCTTACCATTTCGGCCCCAATTTGGTGTATATTCTAAATTTTCAAATATTTCTTTCCACGCCCCTTTCTAAAACAAATGGAGGTCAGGGTTCTTCTCATGGCATGTATGGACATTTATTGTGAGGAAACTAGCCCATTTAAAAATTTTATATTTTTCCGCCAAAATGCTGAACCACTCCGGCCCTTACCATTTCGGCCCCAATTTGGTGTATATTCTAAATTTTCAAATATTTCTTTCCACGCCCCTTTCTAAAACAAATGGAGGTCAGGGTTCTTCTCATGGCATGTATGGACATTTATTGTGAGGAAACTAGCCCATTTAAAAAATTTATATTTTTTCGCCAAAATGCTGGACCACTCCGGCCCTTACCATTTCGGCCCCAATTTGGTGTATATTCTAAATTTTCAAATATTTCTCTCCACGCCCCTTTCTAAAACAAATGGAGGTCAGGGTTCTTCTCATGGCATGTAGGGACATATATTGTGAGGAAACTAGCCCATTTAAAATTTTTATATTTTTCCGCCAAAATGCTGAACCACTCCGGCCCTTACCATTTCGGCCCCAATTTGGTGTATATTCTAAATTTTCAAATATTTCTTTCCACGCCCCTTTCTAAAACAAATGGAGGTCAGGGTTCTTCTCATGGCATGTAGGGACATTTATTGTGAGGAAACTAGCCCATTTAAAAATTTGATATTTTTCCGCCAAAATGCTGAACCACTCCGGCCCTTACCATTTCGGCCCCAATTTGGTGTATATTCTAAATTTACAATATTTGCCCCTACGCCCCTTTCTAAAGCAAATGGAGGTCAGGGTTCTTCTCATGGCATGTAGGGACATTTATTGTGAGGAAACTAGCCCATTTAAAAAATTTATATTTTTTCACCAAAATGCTGAACCACTCCGGCCCTTACCATTTCGGCCCCAATTTGGTGTATATTCTAAATTTTCAAATATTTCTCTCCACGCCCCTTTCTAAAACAAATGGAGGTCAGGGTTCTTCTCATGGCATGTAGGGACATTTATTGTGAGGAAACTAGCCCATTTAAAAATTTTATATTTTTCCGCCAAAATGCTGAACCACTCCGGCCCTTACCATTTCGGCCCCAATTTGGTGTATATTCTAAATTTTCAAATATTTCTTTCCACGCCCCTTTCTAAAACAAATGGAGGTCAGGGTTCTTCTCATGGCATGTAGGGACATTTATTGTGAGGAAACTAGCCCATTTAAAAATTTTATATTTTTCCGCCAAAATGCTGACCCACTCCGGCCCTTACCATTTCGGCCCCAATTTGGTGTATATTCTAAATTTTCAAATATTTCTCTCCACGCCCCTTTCAAAACAAATGGAGGTCAGGGTTCTTCTCATGGCATGTATGGACATTTATTGTGAGGAAACTAGCCCATTTAAAAATTTTATATTTTTTCGCCAAAATGCTGGACCACTCCGGCCCTTACCATTTCGGCCCCAATTTGGTGTATATTCTAAATTTTCAAATATTTGCCCCTACGCCCCTTTCTAAAGCAAATGGAGGTCAGGGTTCTTCTCATGGCATGTAGGGACATTTATTGTGAGGAAACTAGCCCATTTAAAAAATTTATATTTTTTCACCAAAATGCTGAACCATTCCGGCCCTTACCATTTCGGCCCCAATTTGGTGTATATTCTAAATTTTCAA